CAGTCTGTTGACTATCATTATGCTCTTTAAAATGACCTTAATCTGACCTTCAGGGGGTGTGATTACTGGCAATTGTCTCTTTACACCTCTAAATGTTCGTTAACCTCGTTCACTACAAAGCGTACTAACTCACCTTTTTTTCGGCACTATTAGGATTACTGTTGTTTCAGTCACATCATTGTACAAATATTTCAGCGTTCACCTATCATGAGATTTACCTTGGACTAAGCACATAGCAGCTGTCTCTTCAAAAGTCTCTAGGTCTCTCGGCTATCTTCGTAGAAACTTGCGCAACGCTCCTTCTAACGTACGCATGTTATCATACCTAATTTATGTTCACCCACAACTGAAACTGCAGTAGGCATCATCGACATGTCACCACAACAAGATTACCTTGTGCGTATGTTGGAAGCCGTCCAGAATAGGACAGCGAGATTCATCGCTTGTAACTACGACTGTCGTTCAAGCATCACCCTAATGGAACAATATTCTGCATTCATGTCACTGTATCAACGCCACGTCAATTTCATTTTAGGATTATTTCATACATACATACCAAATAATAATGCCTGCTGTTGGCTGCTTCATTTTCCTCTGTGCGATTTCGACGCATTCACAACACTTGTTGTTTCATGCGCGTTCATTGTCAAACACAGAGATTTACCTCATCACCATTACCTCGAACCATAGCCCATTAGAACGGCCTTCCAGATTGCATTGTTTTCATTTCTAATCGTGAAACGTTTTGTGATAACCTGACTTCGTTGAGTTTTACTATTATATAACTTTGTTGCACCTTGCTATTTGTTATTTGTTTTCTTTGTTTGTTTCTTTCTGCTTCTTTACTTTTAGTCTGTATTTTTTGCAGTGCATTTACTGACACTCCCCTTGTCCAATGCATTTCAATGGGCATGTAAGCCATTATCAATAAATAATTAAACACTACTGGCATTGAGTATAAGCGAACCTAAGCTCGTCTTGTCCGTCCGCGTTTCGGCCTCCATCTTCGCATTCACGTCACTGAAAGCACCCTATTTGAGCACAAGCACCTGTGGTTGCAACGCTCGCGTTCACGAGTGCTGTGGCCATACATACTTAGCTGCATTACTTGCTAGTCACGTAGGCAACGATTCGCGCGAATCTTACTTTTACAAGAGCGACATAGACTACGAAAGTGACCTTCCGCTGGCCCGTGTTGCGGACTACAATACAGGTGTCACGTGTTGTGGACTACAATACAATGACAGCCCGGCCCCTTAACTGATCCGCAATAAAAAACACACAAATGACATTTTCGTTGCTGATACTGGGGAGTCGCGTTTTCCGAACAAGATGGAATGTCCAAGGATCAGGTGACGGGTGAGACTAAATGTCCAACGAGCCTAAATTTCCAACCGAGACTGATTGTCCAACGAGCCTGAATGTCCAACCGAGACGGAATGTCGAACGAGACCGAATGTTCATCGAGATGGAATGTCCACTATGGGACAATCCGTCTCGATGGACATTCCGTCTCGTTGCACATTCGGGCCGCAAGCGGAGAGCTACTCAGTCTGAACTTGTTGGCGTATTTCGTATCATCTTCTGCTTTACTGCCTCTAATTTATTGAGGCTCTTTGGTCACCGTCAAAAACAAACTATGCTAACATATTCTGATAATACTGTGAACGTAGGGCGTGCCAAGAGTTTCGAGTGCGTAAGAGAAACCGTCGGATGTTTTTTTATACTCTGTTTCACACATCATGTGCAACGTTTCAGAAGCTAGCAATACTTCTTGCAGTCGTTCTGTTCGCAACAAAAAGTAGTTTGATGTTTTTGCCAGCAAAAACCTAATTGGTCTTTCATTACTAAGGCGAGACGTAATCGAAGATGTTATGTGCTTTCCAAAGAAAAACGCCAATAAACGTCTGGTATTATGTGGCTGCATAGCTTAGTTTTTACGTGACGCCACACACAGTCTCTGTACTCTGGGTACGTCATGATGGCGGCCACCTGGACTTTCGGTGTCACTGCAGGGTGTCCCTGCACAGCTTATTTGAGCACCCGTGTTTTTTTGTGCTCACCCCGCTTTCTTCTGTTCGCCAGCCGCGCCTAATGGGAGCATAAAAAATGCTAGGATGTACTGGCACTAATCAGATGTCACGCTAGCGACCACGAAACATGTGGAGTTACATGTTTTGATTGATTTGTGGGGTTTAACGTCACAAAACCACCATTTGATTATGAGAAACGCCGTAGTGGAGGGCTCCGGGAATATTGACCACCTGGGGTTCTCTAACGTGCACCCAATCTGAGTACACGGGGGAGTTACATGTTTTGCTGGCCAAACTTCTTTTATACCTTTCACAGCGTTGCACCTGATGAATGAAACGCAGTATAGGTAGAAAAGAGGACACGCTGTGGTCGGAGTGACACTAGCGATGAACGCATCGTATCTGCGGTCATACGTTACCGTTATGCCCAAACAAATATACCACTCATTATGAGTGAAGCTGTGAATCATTAACAGTCCAAGTGAGGAGTATCAAGTACGCGGCATCTCACGAGTGGCCCGAGCTGCACATAGATGTCCACCTTCCATACAAGTTTTTTTTATTTCTTAGTATGTATACTTATTAGCTACACGTGTACGATTCACTTAAAGATTTGGTTTCGTGAAATGCTCCTTGTAGCCACCAAGTGTTGTAGCCACCCGGAGCAACAGCTCCATATTTCGGAATCTCCATCTAGATTTTATTCATTTCGAAAACGCACAGTGATATATATCCTGGCCCCAAATGCTTTCCAGGAATGCCTAGCACATTAGATACAGGAAAATATCGCTCTCAGTTGGCGACTTTGGCTTTATATTTTTTACAAAGCTAACGCACAACACGACTGTTCACTTTACGTGCAATTGAACTAGCATCAATAACCACTGTAGGTACGATTCAGCTGCACAGTGACATGCCTATTGTTGTTTTTTTGTTTGTCTCTTGGTATATCCTCCACAGAATACTGATGGCCGCGTTATCATGCAACGAATATCAAGTTTAGCCTGTTATATAACGCAACATCGGCCCATCTGCGTTAAGTTTAGTGTTTGAGCTTTGAAACATTTACGTATTATGCTGAAATGGTAACAATAGATGTGTAGGCGGAATATCAGTTAAGGACACTTCTGCAGAACATTTATTCGGAAAAGGAATCAGAAGAAGTCTTAAACAAACTATCTGACCAGGTTGGCTAAAATCTCTATATTGACATTTCGTACTGAATGGCACTTCTTTTTTTAAAACTCCTTGAGTGTAGCATGGTCTCAAGGCATGTCTACGCATTGATTCATCATGATTTTAACTGATGAGGAGGTGATTTTAGGCATGCTGCATGTGCAACTAAAATCTACATTCGTTGAGTTTAGCGACAACGTATACATTCAGAAACAAGGTATTTGTGTAAGGCCTAGCTTAGCGCGATGTTGAGGGACACATATTTGACGAATTTGGATAGGCTTTTGGTTGACAAACATGGTAATTGAAAAGGAATTAAGGTAATTCGTTTCAATCATGGCTACTTTGTAGTAATAAATAATGCTCCAGGGAGCCTTGAACAATATAGAACAACGTTGTTTGTGGACGTTCAACGACGAGTTGCTCAACCACGAGGCAATGTTCACGAGAAATAATGTTCAACCATGAGGTGCCCCTGTAGAAGTTACTACGGTTTCTACACTTCCAGTTGAGGTTTTAGCAAGACCTTGTACGCTGCGCATACGAGCCACGGCGTAACAAACTTTTGTTGCCTTTTGTGTCAGACCACCTGAAGTTGATTAAGAGATCGGTGGTTTAGATGTGTCTTGTTAACGCTTTACACGAGTCCTGCGCTCACCACATGAAAAAAATATTAACCAAACAAGTGCTGAGGCTGAAGACAGCCAGATATCCATAGCAGCTGATCACTTCACTTGCTGAAAGAGTGCACAGGGCGACTGAGAAGTGACCAAAATATGATGCAGTGGGCGAACAAAGTGAGCACCCAAGAAGAGTGACAGTAATTCTGCACATGCAATATAAGGCACACAACCTAACAAGGATTGGCGAACGTTTCAGGGTCAAAGTTGAAATGTCAGCACCTGATAAGTTACCCTGAGCTATGCCCTACAACTTCGCCAGTGAAAAAGCCAAGGAAAGTGTGTGCTAATAAAAATAAAAGAAAGTTTTGGATTACTCAAAGAGGGTGGTTTAGAAAATTCTGCTTTCTTGTGACCGATTTTACATAGGGCAGAGGGAGTGCTGTGTTAATGTCCGTCTAAATGAGCATTGTAATAACATGGAAAAGAAGCGATAGGCATCTCGCGATGCATTGCCGAGAACATGGGTGCGACCACTTTTTAGATAACACTGTGGTATTATGTGTAGTCTTAAACATTGACTCCAGATTAATTGTCGAGGTCACCGAGATGGAGACGGATGATTTAAATGTGGTTAGCGCTGCCTCGACTGTCTCGAAAAACAAGGCACTTCACTTCTTCGGGTGTGCGCATAAGGCAGTCATGTAACACACGACTTGGCATCTTTACGTACCCTATCAGCATAATGTCTAACAACGTCTTTACTTAGATTCTGGAGGTACGGCCCTTAAGGCCGTCCCTATCTCGATCTTGTAAATAGCTTAAATATGTGTTTTCAACACCACCACCACCACCACCACCAGAGCATACGCTCTGGACATGTGTTGGCATGTTCAAACTCTTCATAGTGATAGTAGGACCTTGTATTCGATTGTTATATTAATCTTCTCTGGTTATCATGCTTCTTCACTGTAGTTTTCTTGTCTTTTCTTTCGGATGGACACCAATATATGTAGTGTTTTCTTTTATTGAAATTTGAGTTGAAAGTAGCGCTTGTTCAGCGTCCTTCACTTGTCTTATGTACGTGCCCTTCACGCTTGCAAAAGTTATGAACTCATAATGAATGGAAATCTGGTGTAATCGTACTTCTAAAAGGCATTTTTTTTTCAAGGGGCTTCACAATGAACGGCATCATCACAAATAAAGGTGAGCATTTTATGGTGCTCTTCTATAGATGAAGTGAAGATATCCTCATTAGATCATTGGGGATCATAGTCGGAACATTTACGGCAATACGATGACGGTGTTTTACAAACGCCTGAAGCATGGGAAGATGAAAAATACATCACAAAATATGTGGGAGGGGGAGGAGTGTCTCTGAACCCACGTTTGGATAAGAAGGCTTCGCATAGTAAACACAGCAATCGTACATTGAAAATATAGTACAGCTGCTCTATATGGTAGGGTGATTCCTAGTCATCCAGCCAAAACACAGGTGGAGCGTAAAATGGCCAGGTCACCACACGTGCTTTGACCGATTCAAAACTTCAGACTTCGTCGGGCCATGTAGAGCTTTTTAGGGAGAAAACTCCTCTTAGTCTACCATTGTCATGCGTCACGCGTTTCCGGGAGAAGAAGAGACCAGAAAGAAAAGATGGTGGTATCTCCCGAACAGTACAATAGACGGTGCTGTCTCATAGAAGTAAATACAATCTGGAGTTCAGTGAGGATATTTTAGATGGCGCTGTACCGTTACTCTCCGAATGACTGCTCGGTGGGCTGTATCTGGGTACACGGAGAACGAGTGCCTCTCTGTCTCCTGGATAGTCACCGTATGTGGCCGTAAGTTGGTGGGGCATGGACGAAGCAGAGCGGTGGGCGCATTGAAGGCGCTTACGGTCGACTTCCTCGGCTCGAGTTTTGTCAGTGCTACCCGAGCGCCGTCTGCATTCTCGAATGTGATCGGGACGCATGCACGGACAGATTAAAGAACGGATGCTTCGCCCCACTCATCATAATTCAACCAATGGATATGCTGTGGTTTTTTCTCTGCACTCGGGGTGGACCAAGGCTGACATTTCGGGCCAAGAATGGACTAAGGCCCGCTTTTTCTAAACGAGAAATCCCAGCACGCGTTAGTCGTCCATGGCGTCGTCAATGGCATTTTGTGCCAAGCTGAAGTGACGCATGCAAGCTGGCCATTACTGTATCTGAAGGTAGAAAGAAAAAAAAGAACCTATGAAGTTCTAATGCGTCCTTTGCCACTATGACGCAAGGGTGTGATCGTGGGCGCAGAGGTCGCATTACGATTTAGGTAAAATGCCAGAGGCCAGGGAAATATGCGATTTTTGAGCACGTTAAAAGAGGCCAGTTGCCGAAAGTTCCAAAGCCCCTCACTTCCACGAGCCTCCTTAACATGCAACATTATGAAATATAATATAATATCTTGCTCTTGTAAACACATACGATCCTTGTTTCCATGCTATGAAAAACAAGAAACTGTTCTTTGTTCAGAATTATGGTTCCCAGCCTTGTCGCTACTCTTACAATAATACTTTTGCGTGCACCCAAAAAACATTTTTATTTGGATTAGTGCGTGCCAAGACAATGAAATGACTATATGGAATGCCATAGCCCGTGCCACATTGATGTTTGCAATCTCTGTTTTTTTCACTGGGGACTTATTCTCACTAAGGTGTTGCATCATAAAAGGCACACGGTGCAAAAAGTAGCAGTTTGGCATAGTTACTATCGATGCCATGCTAAAAACCAGAAAACTGATGAAAGCCACACACAGACGTACTAAACTACTTTAAAGGCTAGATTCTAACACTGGCATTCGCTATCAACGGTTCATCTCAGACGACAATATCGGTTCTTGAGCAAATTAAGATTTCTATAACACGAACACATGGAATAGCCAGGCCAGGCTTTTTCATGCATTGCAGTACGTTGGCGTGCCATTATTATACGAGGAAAAACTCATGTACAACGAGCACTGCGCATGGCAGTCCACTTACCTTAAGTAAAAAATAATCATGAAGAGCAGGCACAAAAGCAAAATTACGGCTGTTGCACGAAACATCAAGCGCTCATGGAAATCTACAACACCCGACGCATTTCGCTAAGGAAATTCGGCAAAAATACGTATGCCATACGACAGCAAACATTTAAGCAGACATTTGTGAAGACTTCCTGTTGGTGTCTGTGAAGACTTGCTGGACAGATATTTCAAACTTAATTGCAAGGCATACAGTCAGTAAGGTTTAAAATCTGTGTATCGCTCTGCGTCGTGCTCTTAACCGCATATGGAATAAAGTGACAAGGCCATGTTTCGCTACAGTCATTGTTTTTTGGCGTGTCATGTATGCTGGAAACAAAACTAGATGAATGACCTTGGCATAAACATAAATGTTCATGAGCGTTTATTTAAGCACTTTGTCATACTATCTTTCCTTGGCTTTCACTCTTATTTCGTTGCGATACCACGTTTGTGAAACACCATATCTTTTTATTATACATCTGCTAAGTGAGCAGGCAAGTTTTGTGTTTTTTTAATGATGATAATGTTTTCCTTCTCAGGACTTGAAGTCTAACGGATTCAGAACACTCTCAGCTCATCTTCATGGACATAACGGCGTTGAGGGCTAACCATGAGCCATATGGTAACAATAATGTGAAAAGAAGAACGAAGTAAGCGCCTCAATTGGTTCCCATACCCTAAAATAATACCTATAATATTTTAGACGAGAACTTACATAAGCAAAATTTAAAGAAACTAGGGAGCACCACTGTATGTATGATTCTCTTAGGAAGCTCTCTGGGCGCCAAATAGCTGAATCAAGGTGCACCTCGAAGAACTTCGAAAATGCGGCATCTCGAAGTACCCTGAACACGTTCACGTGGTCAACCACCTATAACTCGTCAGCTGAACAAGAGTTCCGCAACCTCTCGTTGCCATCGGAGCATCGACTCAATAAAAAGTAAATGCGTTAAAAAGCACCATTGTAGCTCTTCTTTTGTCTCCCCATCAGGGACCGTCAGTGCTCTCTTTTACTAGTAAAAGAAATAATGTATCTATCCATTTTTTTCCATGCTCAAACAATGCTTTTTCTTCGCATAACATTCTTGTTGCAGTAAAATACTTTTTTTTGTGTAAGCCGGAGCTATATGCGTTAAAGTTACCGAACCAACCTGAACCACTAGAAACGCCAAGCGCTTTAGGACACGTCTCATGGTATAACCTATGGCAACTTAAATCGGTACCCTTTGTTTGGGAAAATCAGGTGATTCGCATGTTCCTGCTCCTGGCCACCGCATACAAGTTTCTTGGTCAAATTTAAAACATTTCTGTCGGCTAGTGTCATATTTTGAACTCATTTGAATCGTGCAATAAATATTCAGATTTCACCAGGAAACTGGCGTAAAGGAACGTAATTAAGTTTTTCAATTTGAAGATATTCCTTTCGAACACCGGCCACGCATGTTGTATGTACGCACCATGCACTCAAATCAGCTGTTTTCGTCAGTAAGACCACACTCTAAGCTTGTTAAGCGTGGCATAGCAAACCTTTGCTTTAACAATACCCCCAAGAAAACGTGCCACCATTTGATGGGACATTGCTTTGATGAGCAAGGGAAGCATCTGAAGGTGGTTGCCTTTGCAGACACTGTCCTAAAGATTGTAGCCGAAACCAAAATTAAGAGTTTGATGATAGATTTATATGTCGGGTTTAACGTCCCAAAACCACCGATTAAATATGAGAGATGCCGTACCGGATGGCTCCGGAACTTTCCGCCATCTGGGGTCCTTTACCGTCCACCAAAACTTGAGCACATGGGCCTACAACATTTCCGCCTGCATCGAAAATGCAGCCACCGCAACCGAGATGCCATTCCACAACCTGCCGGTAAAAATAAAGGGCCTAAAAAAAGAAGAGCGTCACATGTCACGCACCTGGGAAATTGTGGACCAGAGATCATATATCCACAAGATTTCTCACAGTTTGTCGTCAGGCTAGGCGTACTAGTAGCATTGCGGGCGCAATGCTAGCTGCTGTGCCCGTGCGCGAACACTGAGGACTAAAGAAAAATCAAGGGACGCTGGTAAAACTCGACATTTATAGATTGCGTCACAAATGTTTGTATGAAATACCATTTAAAAGTGGTATTTCACACGCTACATTTGTGACAATCTACGTAGGACAGACGAAGTGCTGTGGCAACATTCGGTTGTTAGAGCAGCAAACATCTGTCACTTCAGCAAGAAGTGTGAATCTACCTGCGCATTGGACAGCATGTGGGTGTTCGGTCATTCTCAACTTTCCAAGAATATTGGTAGGTCAGCCACGAAATACCAAAAATAAATACGCGAGGCATACAAAATACAAAACGCGTATAGGGTTGACAGGGAAGTGTTCCTTCCATTTCGCTATCACAAAAAGAGTTATATATACCGATACATCAAAAACCAAAAGATCCAGGATGATATCGTAAGAAGCAATAATATCCCAAAAGAATTTGACATTCTACCACTAATGACAGGGGAACAAACAAAAGCCCTTGAAGGAACGCAAAGTGGCAAAGCCGCTGCTGAAGATAGCGTAGCAATGAACCAGCTAAAAGATGGTGGAGAAAGTGTGTTTTAGAAACTGGCCACCTTATTTATATCAGGAGTTTCTCTTCGTGGGAAAGGTACTAGAATCTTGAATGAACAATAACATCGTTAAAAGGCGTTTACTCAGTCGAGACATCGGCAGTTATGCAGGCACAACAGAATCAGGGCACCTATAAACCCTACATAGACATTGGAAGAAATCTACAGTGGAACCACAGTCATATTAGTTCTTCATAAAGAGAGCGACAGAATCCTAATGAAAAAATGTACAAGGCAGAGAGACGTGATCTGTTGAATGCTATTCACTGCGTGTTCACAGTGAGTTTTCAAACCCTACATTGGAAAGAGTTAGGGATAAAAATTAAAGAAGAGGATCTTAGTAGCCTGTGATTCACTGATGACAATGCCTTGATGTGTAACTCAGGGGACAAATTACAGCTCACGATTACTTCACTGGACGCAGTAAGAGAAGAGTAGGTGTGAAAATCAATATACACAAAACTAAAATAATGTGCACAATCTTGGCAGAAAACAGAATTTAGGGATAGGTAGAGAGACGCTGAAAGTTGTGAAGCAAGATGTCAACCTAGGACAGGTTGTAACCTCGGAGCCGAACCTTGAGAGTGAAATACTAGAAGAATAAAGATGGGGTGGATCACATTAAGCAAGCATTTTAAAATCACGAGTGGTAATTAGAAAATAGCCCTCAAAAGTAAGGTATAAACACCCGCATGATCTTGCCGGTGCTTACCTAAGAAGCAGAAACCTGGAGACTTACAAAGATGGTTCCGCCTAAATGGAAGACGACACAGCGAACAATGAAAAGGGCGTTGATAGGGGTAACCTTGAGAGACAAAAAGAAAGCAGAGTGGGTCAGGTGTCAGGTAACAAGCGAAAATTCAGGATGTCATAGTTTAAACTACAGTAGGGGAATAGACATGTGCTCGGCACGTAGCACGTAGGCAGGATAACCACTGGTCATCAAGGGTAACCTACTGGGTTCCCAAAGAAGGCAGAGACACTATGGGGTGACGGAAAGTTAGGTGGACCGATGAGAGTAAAAAGTTCGCAGGCATAAAGTAGCAGCAGAAGGCACAAGACCGGGTTGACTGGCAGACGGGTGAGAGGCCTGCGCTCTGCAGTCGGCGTAGTCAAGCTGATGATGATGAAGTTTAAGGTGCCTTTGGATGCGTCCTTTCAGGACATTTCTTTTTAAAAGGACAAGGGAGCTTCTATGGCACACCATTGTTTGTCACATTCTTACGATTGTCTCCCCTTATGATATCTTGTGGGGTACATGCCTCTTACGTTCTTCTTTAGAGTATACGCGTTGTTTTTTTCATTAAACTGTTCTATGTTTCCAGCGTGTGTTCATCGTATGTCTCTTCTTGTGTATGTGTTTTTCGATGCCTGGGTTCCTCAATTTATCCCTTTAGTTCACGGTGTGTACAAATGTACTTGTCAACTTCAATTGCACCTCACGCACCACGTCTTTCACCGAATGACTTGAAACTTAATCAGGCCCCTGAAATTTAGCGCAGGTTTTCGTTTCAAGGAACATGTGCACTCATAGCGGTTGCCAGGCATCGTATGATCTCTTTAAACAAGATGAAAGTACCAAGCATGATTACAATTATTGTCTAACCAGTCATTCGAAATAAAAATACTTTTATGTAACAGTAAAGAGTGCTTCGGTTGTTGATTTGTCTCTTTTAATCTTTATTTTGACAGTTTTTAATGGAGGAACGCGCGGGAAGACTTGTGTTTAGCGATTGCCTCCGCTCCCTCCTGCCACTTGCTCAGAGACATCACAAGGGAGATCGCCGTCGAGTGTCTCACTCAGTTAGCATGCCAAGTAAGAATATGCAAAGATGAGAGATTTCATTTGGCGTGCAGTGAACAGAAGCCTCAGTAGGCCTGGTGAGTCACGTCAAATGTGCATTAGATGAGGGTTGCGAAATTGGGGCACCACACGTGTTGCACGACTCTGCAGCGTGATAACCCAGAATTTTTTCTTTCTGCGAAAGTCTTCAAGGTCTCCTTGTGGGAATGGGTGAGCACAAATATATGGGTTCATTATTTGAGCAGGTATTTATTTTGCATGAGTTCTTGAGAAAACCCAGCTCTCAGCAAGCCTGTGTGGGTTGATATAAGCGTGTCATTAGACTAGCTTGTGAAAATGAGAGCGCAGCTGCTGCTTCTTGAATGTTTCATGAACAACTTGAATGCGTGTTGACGCCACTGTCGAGTTTCTTTATCATTCACATTTGGTATGTAGTTGAAGTGATGAGAAGCAATTATAGCATCCTTCATGTTAATGGAAAGGCATATAGCCAGTTAGAAACTTTGTGGGAATTTGCGCCTGAAATGAGAAATAGTTGTTTTTTGGTCAGCATTGTTTACAAGTATGAATTAAGCCAGCAGTTCAATGTGCCTGGCCTTTCAGAACGTGCTGAAACTTTTACCGGGTGACTGAATCGTGTGAGAGATGAGCATAGAGTTCAAAACTTTTGCAAGTGTCCCAAGAAAGACGATAGTCTTTCTTGGGATACTTGAACACAGAAACTGTCATCTGTCTATAATTTACACTGATTGTTATCCCATGATTTCCATGGTTGATATATGACATGATTCAGCCAGCCAGGTACACACCTCAGGCGGCTTGTGAGGGGTGCGTGGGCAGCATGCAGCTTCTGGGCCGTGTCTTTGCGGCCCCTGCACAATATAATGCGATAGGTAGATAATACGGTCGCAACTAAGTTGAAAAGTGCAGAATTAGCATTGTGCGTTCTGCATCATCAGCGTGACTGCGTCCGCTGCAAGACCAAGGCCTCTCCCATGTTCCGCCAGTCAACTTGGTCCTGTGCTTGCTGCTTCCTCTTCATACCCGCAAACTTCTTAATTTCGTCTGTTTATCGAACCATCTGCCCCCCCCCCCCCCTCACCCGCTTGCCTTCTCGTGGAATCCAGTTAGTTACCCTTAAACAGGTTCTGCAACACTTTTTCAGCATGGTGAGAAAACGTCGCTGATAGATAGTAGAGGCTCCGGAGAACACGTGACCGAAATATTGCCACGTTCCATTTCCCAAGTTTTTGTTATCGTCCCAAAACACCACACGATTCTCAGCGCAAACCGCACCTGCAGTTTTCGAGAAGGTTCCGGACTGTAGTAGATCATTTCGATAAGATCACGCCCACTGTGCGAACGGTACAGATTGTTCTGGAACCTACGCCACCGCCAATGATAACGCTAGAACAATCGACGGCAAGAGTATAAATGCCGACGCGCTTCGCTGCTTGTCGGTTGTTGATCGAAGGCCGACGTTCCGTTCGCCGCTATCAGTCCGAGTCTGCTATCTGTGCGAGACT